AAAATCACCTTGTGGTGGTTTTAAAGTATCACTTGTATGTCTGCAAAGTTCTCATCGTTTTGCTTTTGAAGTGGTCCACTCTCAGCTAAACATTGGAATTTTAAAGTTGACAGTACGTACGTAGTAAGACCAAACACAAAAAGCAGAGAAAGTTTTTTTTTTTTTTTTTTTTGTGGGACATTCCAAGATATAAGGCTGAATAATCTAACTAACTGATTTTTTTTTTCCTACAGAAATCTATCTATTTATCACTCCCTTAGTTTGACAATGGACAAAGTCAAACGACAAAGATTACTTAAGAAAAAACATTTTATTTCAATCATCCCTTCTGGAAAGGTGGCCTGGTGGCAAAAAAAAAAAGAAATTCTAAATTTTTCCAGAAATAAAGTCTTCATAAAAAGAAAAGAAGAATGATCAATAAAATCAGTTAAATGACTCTGCCCGACCCAAATATGTTGTTAAAAATATTTACTCAACCATTAGAGTAAATTATTTTTTTCTTAACTTTAAGGATTCAAGTACTTTTTTTTTTACCAGTCAAATTTACATGTTTATGGTATGAAATTTGAACTCAGGTCTCAGTTCAATCAGCTTAATATTAAAGAAAAGAGAGAAAAAATAGAATTTTGTTCAGCAATCTAAAAGCTGTTTGAGTCTGGCTGTTTTGCTCTGGATGCTCCTCAGCTGCTTGCTCGAAGGCAGAGGCTTTCTGACCAGACAGGAAGTGTTGGTGAGGTCACTGGATAAATGCACGTCCAGGGACCTGTGGCTGGACACCACCTCCACACCTGTGCCTCTGAGTAGGATCCTTGTTCTTTCTGAAAGCAACCATCTCCTTAGTCGTCTTCACATTGATGCAGAGGTTATTATCTATAAAATCAGGTGTTCAACTTCCTCATTATTGTTTGTGAGGTGTTTCACAACTGCTGTGTTATCTGCAAACTTCACTATATGACAGCTGGGGTGTCTTGCACTGCAGCAGAGCAAATGGGAGGGGGCTCAGCACACAGCTTTGGGGTGAGCCAAAGCTGAGGGTCATGGTGGAGGAGAATGTGTTGTGAATCCTGACAGCCTAAGGTTTGTTCAAGTCCAGGACCCAGTTCCTGACCGTGGGACTCAGTCCAACAGAAGAGAGCTTCTTTCAAGGTCTGTGAGATGATGGTGTTGAAGGTCGAGGAGAAATCCAGGAAGGGCAGATGGGTGAAGGAATTTCTGCTCTCCATGTGGGTGAGCTCTGTGTGGACTGTTGATGAGAAGGCATCAGTGGTGGATCGGTTCCTCCAATAGGCCTACTGATGTTGGTCCACAGGGATGTCAATGGAGTCCTTCATGTGGGTCACAACTAACCCCTCAAAGCACTTGATGACGACAGATGTTTATGCTATATGTCTGTAGTCATTCAGGTCTGGCAATGTGCAGCACTTTGGGACAGGGTCAATAGTGGTGAACTTTAAGCAGGTTGAAATGGACCCTTTAACCCAATTGAACACCCCTATGAAGAATAATAGGCTTTGATTCAAATCTTTTCTCCAAAAAGTCTGAGATCAAACTTTCAAACGTTTTTACAAACGGACCCATGAATTGCTCAGAAATAACTTTTCTGCAACACCCGAGCTGTTAAATCTACAAGTGCTAGGCCGACAGGATGTTAACCATGAATTGGATGTCACTCAAATAAATGTGTGTGAATGCAAGCAACTAAAGATCTTTCACTGCATCTCATTTTGTTGCATGAGAGCAGGTAACTCCGATAGCTTACCTGGAAAACAGTAATCCATGCGTAGCCGATGTTATCGAAGTGGATGGAGCCCAAGAGCGGGTTAGGTCCACCAGCACGACACACAGTGTAGTATGCATTCCAGTTAATGCAGCCACTAGCGTTTGCTTGGTCGTCTGCCAGGAGTTCCCATTGGGAAGGAGACAACAAGCAGCTGTTCCCGCCTTCACGGAGGGGAGGTATGTCGTGACAGTGCCGCATGCCACTTTCTTTGGGAGAACAGATGTAATGAACTTTCTCTCCAGGTAAGGACGTGTAATATGGACTCACGCTCTGGTTATACAGCCTGCATTGATAAAAAAGAAAGACAAAAAAAGATGAAAAGCTTTAATAAATGAGAAGATAATTCTCACATTTTCTTTATAATTTCAATGCTATTATTAAAGTAGCTACAAATTTATCAAGCAACTAATTTACATTTGTCTTTTATCATTACAAATTAGTAGAGACTGTAACAGAGTATGAAACCCTGACATGATTTTAAAAAAGAAATAATGATAAATTCATTCTTAACATTCATTGAATCAAAATCTTTCAAATATTTTTATTATAGCTAATCATTGATTTATTTTCTAAAAAATCATATATGCACTGATCCGTTTCCATAATTTGTGTATTTGAAATAAATATCATCTATGCAAATGAATCAAAGATTATCAAGTTAATAATTTATCCAATTTATTTGGTTCATAGGTTGTTTCCATTCTTGTGTGTATTTTGGTGATGTTGGAGAGAAACCCGACAGAAGTTATATGCTCATGAATAAATACCTTTATTCACTGCATATTTTCCAGCAGAGGTAATAAGGCCCAAAGAAAAAAGGAGGGTTCTTACTGGGTGATGTTCTCTTCCAAATAGCAGCGACGGTGCAAGTCCCCCGCCCACAGCTGGATTCCGATGACGCCAAATACATAGATGATGAAAAAATACACCAGGAAGATGTTTGCAAGCGAGGGCAGGATTTTGCATATCATGGACAACGCCTTGCGCATCTCTATAGAGGGAAACACAGGATGGATGGATGGATGTTTCCCTACGTGCTCTGTTGTACATCCTGTACATATATTCAGGGCTTCAGATTACCATCCACTCTGCTGATCATACGCAGCATTGAGATCACCAAGAGCCATTCCACGTGCACTCCGCAAATGTTCAGAATGATAACCAAGTACCTGAGGAGACAAGGATAAATACACATGCAAAAATATAAAAAATACAGAGGGCAGAGAGTGTTGATGTTTCATCAACAACACTTTGGATTTCATTTACATCGTTTCAACCACCTTTGTGACTGAAACACAGAGTTGGAATGAAGATTAGAGGGGTGACATACTCGACACACAGAATGTAGATGTCCAATTTGTGCCATCTGTTACGTGGGTAGTCACCTAGAGCCCTCATCTTGATTATCAATTCCATCGTGAAATAGACAGTGACACCCACTTCTATAACCTGGGTGGAAACAAGGAAAATACAATTTTTACTGAGAGAGAGAATACAGTTCATGGTTACATGCGGCTTCAAGAGTTCAGAGCTCAATCTTACCTCCTGAATCAGATGTTCCCCTTCGCAGGGCTGGAAAGACCCTTGAGCAGCACAGTCGATCAGTATCACCAGGATGGAGACACAGTTAAACCAAGTATAAAAAGTTAAGGGTAAAACAGGCAGAATATATAAAGTACAACTGAGTTTGAGGCTCACGCTCTGGATAAAAGTTTGAGAGAGGATAAGTCGGAAAATGTAGACAGAAATTTGACACAGGCCTGAGGTGAAGTTGGTTCTTAGTTACATCAAATCTCTACTAAGGATATGAGCTAAATACCACTTTTACACTGAACACGACAAAATTCCAGCACAGATCTCTTTCTCCTGCCGTCTCGTGCTCTGCACTGGGCTCTTCCATCCTCGGTCCCAGTCACGGTCACACCAGCTGCGTAGAAAGGGACTTCACTCTTCTTTATTAGAAGAAATGTCCTAGTCCTGTCGGTGTTCTAAATCTGAATGAAGGTCATTAAATTCCAAAGTGAGATGTTGTTTTAAATGCCATGGGGACACAGATCGATACTGATGCTTTATTAATCCCACTGCTGCTTTTCTATGACTCATACTAATAATTCTGTAAAAAACTCTTAAAGCTTTACTGCTAGTTGTATCTGTACTCATGTGCTCATATATCTTAATGCATAAGCCTCTATACAACCGCAATACATCTGTAACCAGAAAACAAAACAAATACACATTCCTTGATGTAAACAAAACTTTTTTCAGTCATCTGGACAGATAATTTTAGTAATAAATTCCTATTGCATCTTGTTACTGAATTAAACTTAGTAAATTTAAAAGAATTAATATAACTTAAAAAATCTCTCTGCCTTTTTTTTTTTACTTTTTACTCTGTTCAGAAAATTTTCTACATTAAAAGCGGCCTGGGTGAGCTGCTCCTTAAGCCCCATGCACAAACTGTCACTCAAAATTGTTTTATTCTTTAAGGTCCAATTAACATTTTTTTCCCATTTGGACTGCAGAGTAAATCATATGAAATATTCCAGCTTATATTCCATATATATATATATATATATATATATATATATATATATGTATATATATATATATAAATATGTATATATATACATATTTTTATATATATATATATATAATATATATATATATATACATATTTTTATATATATATATATATAATATATATATATATATATATATATATATATATATATATAAATATGTATATATATACATATTTATATATATATATACATATTTTTATATATATATATACATATATATATATATATATATATATATACACATATTTATATATATATATAGATATCTATAGATATATCTATATATCATGTTGCCATTCAGTACACTGAGTTTGTGTGTGTGCATGTGTATATTTATTGCACCTGTATGTTCTATTCAATGTTCTTTTCATATGAAATTCCATGGTTATAATTATTCATAAGTGTGCAGTATCATAACTACATGTCTGACTTTTGTTTAACAAACCAAACAGTTTGAGAATCGTTAGACAATTGAGGAAGTTATGGTTATTTCAGTACATGCGCCTTTAAAACACAATGTTACGAATGAGCGAGCTGCCTGTGGCAAGATGGCCGCCACGTGCGGACGTCGACCCCCATTGGCCAGCAGCGCGGACGAGACATCTAGCCTTTATTATGGATATCTATGCCACAGAGCACAACAGAAAGCCTGCCTGAGGCAAGATGGCCGCCGGTGATGACGTTTGAGACTCCGTCGTAAGACATCTAGCCTTTATTATGGATATCTATGGTCCCATTTGCCAACGGCTGAGGATCCTCCGGAGCAGCCTACCAATAAGTCTGGGTCGGCTGCGTCCTCGGAAGTACGCAGCCTGCGAATTGAGACGCAGCCTACGTAGATTTTCTGTTGCTATAGTAATCTTTAGAGCTACACAGAATTTGTTTTCTAGCTTTTCTGGACCAACAGATGCTTTCATTACAGAATTCAAGACATATAAACAAAGTATAAAAGGCTTTGAATTTTCCATAAAACCTAAAATAACTGCTAATCCACCCATAGGCTAAACAAAACAGTTCACAAATTACAGCTAAGTAAAAACTTAGGTCCGCTTTATAGCGGATTAATGTAACAGAGCTGACAACTGCTTGCTCTTAACTGTGTTGATGCTACCAAATATATTTTCTGCCTCAACTGAAGAAACTTTTATGTGAAAATTTTATACAAGATACAAAGATTTATACAATTAGTCAAAAACACTAAAGAATATAAAAAAAATAAATTATTTTTGATAATCATTGCTTGTAAATGAACATAAAATTGCATTTTCTAATAAAATCAGTTTCAATTATATCTGCACTTACCAGAGAAAAAGCTGATACTTGGGTTGCACATCAACTGAAGAACAACTGCCAATAACTGATTAGCTAGTAACTGAACAGCCAGTATTTTAAAAAAGCAAGTTGGCTCTGTTATTGCCATGGTAATCGTAATATTTCCACTTTAAAGTAGACCATTCTGTTATTTTTTCAGTTACCGGTATATCATGATTGATTGTGATTGGCTGCACAGTGTACAAAGAAAATTCAAAGGAAAATAAAAGCACAATAAAAGCAAGCAAGAATAAAAACAGGTTAAAACCAGGCAGTAAGGAAAATAAAACAGGTCCGTAGTTTCAATATCATTTTCACAGAATGTACATGTGTTATCATCTATTCCAAAGCGAAGTCTCAATAATTCTTTAGAGGGGTAAATGTTGTTCATTATTTTGAAGTGTGTTTCTTTCACCTTTGGGGGTATAGGAAGTGCTAGATACATTGTTCTTAGTTTAGTTATTGAGCTTTTATCAAATTTTTGTAGGATGTTATTTTTATTTTGTCTTTCAGGGTAAAGGTATTCATTAAAACAGTTTCTGATAAAATGGTTAGTGCATTTCTTATCCATAATGTTAATCCCTTGAATTGACAGAGTAGCTAATTGTGGATGAATTGGATGATATGCAAAAGTATTTTTGGTTAAAAAAACAAATTCTTGGGGTAGTGCTCTATGTAATTTGTTAAAGTCTGACTCTAAAGGTTTGAAATTGAAGAGAACAGGCGTTTCAACGTGTATTCATTTACTTTCTTTCTTAGAACAGCGGTACAAAAAAACTGCAGTACACAGTAGACACAGTAGATGGCAGCATAACAGCCTTTCCATTAATAACCATTGAACAAATTACTGCTTCTTATTTCAACACTCCCACTTAATTTTTACAATGGTATTAAGACACAGCATAGTGCTGAAATAACTTTTAACTCAACTTGCGAGAATAACTTATTATTCCTTTTCTGTTTATAGTTAACTCTTTTTGTCTTGCCATACTCAACAAAAAATATTGTTTACTTAATAATGAAAAAAAAAACAAAGCAAGACATTCTATCACAGATTTAAATTGGAAAAAGTCCAATCTTTCTATTAAAAAACTCAAACTTCTTTCTTGCAAGAGGTTTTGTCAAGATATCTGCCTTCATATCGTCGGTTGGACAATATTCTAACTTGACTTCACCATTCTGCACACATTCACGAATGTAATGGTAAAGAATGTCTATGTGCTTGGTTCTTGAATGGTCCAACGGATTCTCTGCTATTGCAATGGCTCCTTGGATGTCCTCCAGAATCACTGTAGGCTTTGTGACCATTCCAAGATTATTCAGTAATCTTCTCAGCCAGGTACCTTCTTGAGCTGCTTGACTGAGAGCAACATACTCAGCTTCTGCTGTTGAAAGTGCAACCGTTGCTTGTTTTTTGCTTAGCCAGCTCACTGCTCCTCCACTGAGTAGAAATATGTTGCCTGTTGTTGAACGGCGGTCGTCCTGATCTCCAGCCCAGTCAGCATCAGAGAAACCAGTCAAATCTTTGTTCCCTGAACAGTCATATTTTAGAGCAAGGTTAACAGTTCCCTTTAGGTATCGAAAAATCCTCTTCACAGCAGTCAGATGTGCAGTATTTGGATTTGCATTGAACTTTGACACTGCACTCACTGCTTGTGCTATGTCTGGTCTTGTTGTCATTGCCGCATACAGTAGACTTCCAACCATAGACTGATATGTGCTTGGATTGACAGGATTACTGACAGAATCATCCTTTTTCAGTTTTACACTGATGTCAGCAGGGGTTGCAACAGGATTTGCTTTATCCATCCCATATTTCTGAAGAATGTTTTCAATGTACTGTTTGTGGTGAAGAAAGATGCAGTTTTTTGCTTTGTCTTGAATAACTGAGATGCCGAGTATGTAGGACAGTTCACCCAAGTCCTTCATTTTGTAGCGCTCTTGGAGAGTCAGTTTTAACACATCCATGCTTTCAGTTGACTCTGTAATCAGCATCAGATCATCTACATAAACTGCAATTATCTCCAGCTCTTGTGATGACCTCACAAACACACATGGATCTGAGGTGCTCTGCTTACCGGTAAATCCAAGATCCATCATGAATTTTGTGAACTCTTTATTCCAACAACGAGGAGACTGTTTTAATCCGTAGACTGATTTTTTTAGTTTGCATACAAGATGCTCCTGACCTGGTTTGATGTATCCCTCAGGTTGTTTCATGTATATTTCTTCCTCCAGGTGTCCATTTAAGAATGCAGTGACAACATACTTCTAGCTGCTTCAACCAATGTCCTGTTTTTTCTTTCTGCAACTCCATTTTGCTGAGGTGTATGAGGTACAGACATCTCATGGTGGATACCTTGAGCCTTCAAATATTCTTGAAATTCACTTGAAATGTACTCCCCACCATTATCTGATCTCAGTCTTGCAACTTTGTGTCCACACTCATTGGAGAATGTTCTCTCAAATTCCTTGAATTTGCTTAAGACTTCACTTTTTTGTTTCATGAAGTAAACCTTACAACAGCGAGAAAAGTCATCAATGAATGTTACAAAGTATTTTGACCCACCGATGGATTCAGTCTGCATGGGTCCACAGACATCACTATGGATCAGTTGCAGCTTACGTTTGGAACGAATTTTTCCCACTGCCTTACATGGCTGTCTTGTGAGCTTGCCTTCCACACAGGCTTCACAGAAAGGAAGTTCTTTGTCTGCAGAGAATTTCACAGATTGCCACAGATTAGCTGTTACTGATGCACTTGATGCACTATGATAGACCTGCGAAGATCCTTTAATATCCAACTGATACAATCCATCAGATCTTTGTGTTCCCATTCCTTGAAGAGTTCCATCCTTGCCACGTATGTAGCACCGAGATTTTTTGAAGTGCACTGTATTTCCTTTTCTTGTAGCAGCTCCCACTGAAAAGAGATTTCCAGACAACTTTGGAACGAACAACACATCAAACATTGTGGCAGGTTTAGCATCACTTATTTTGAAGGTCATGTTCAATTTAACAATGCCAAATCCTTGAGCTTCCACCACCCAGTTTTACAGACTGTGTTTTTGAAAACTGCTGGTAGTTTTGAAGAATTTCTTTGTTACAGGTCATGTGTTTTGATGCTCCAGAATCAATCAACCACACATCTTGTCCCGGTCCTTCAGTTAGATGTGCATTTTCTGCAACAAAGGCAGTATCAGAGGGATCTTCTTCATTTTCACAAACTGCATTTTTGGCTTTGTGATTTTTGATTCGTTTTTTCCAGCTTGGACAGTTACGCTTTATGTGTCCTTCTTTGCCACACTTGTAACATCTCCATGAACTCTGTCTTTCAGCTCCCACTACTTTTGAATGGTCCTGCATTTCTCTGTGAATTTGTGTTGACATGGCTGATGCACCACCTGATGTAGCAGCTCTGTAGTCATCATTAACATTGACTCTTTTTTGCTCTTCATTGATTAATGCTTGCTGAACAAACTGCAATGTCAAATTGTCCATCTTAGTTTCGAGAGCAGTTACAATCGTAGCATAGCTTGATGGTAAGCTACCCAGGAGGGTTACAATCTGATCTTCCTCTTCAATTATAGCACCTATTGCTCTTAGCTGATCAGTCAGTTCCTTCATTCGTTTTAAATGGTCATTTAAGCTGTCCTTTTCTTTCATTTCACATCTGAAATATTTCTTCTTCAAGAACAGTTTATTTGCTAAAGTGTCTCTCTCAAAATGTCCTTTTAGCATGTCCCAAGCCTCTTTTGGAGTTTGACAGCTTGTTATTACATATAACTGGGGTGTACTCACATTTAGCACTAACATGGAAAATGCTCTTCTTCTCCGTCTCTCGAATTCCGCCTGCGCTTGTGCGCTAGCATCTGGAGTTAGCATATCCGTCTCCGTTAGCATGCCCCATAGTCCTTTAGCTTTTAGCAAATGCTCCATCTGAAACTTCCACGTTGCCCAGTTCTCTGGTCCGCTCAGCTTGTCGATAAACGTCTTATCATCCATTGTGAGTCCCACAATTCCGTTTATCTGACTCAAAAACCTTCACTTACTGAACTTTTTAGCGACGCTCTGGGCCCATAAGCTGAAGAGAACAGGCGTTTCAACGTGTATTCATTTACAGCGGTACAAAAAAAACTGCAGTACACAGTAGACACAGTAGATGGCAGCATAACAGCCTTTCCATTAATAACCATTGAACAAATTACTGCTTCTTATTTCAACAGAAATTATGTTTAATGCAAAATTGTTTTATAATTATAAAAAGCTCCGTTGGCATCCATTAAATCTACTATGGACTTTATATATTTCTCCCATACCAGTCTTCAAAGAACAGAGATTTGTTGCGTTGCAGAATATATCTGTTGTTCCAGAGAACAGTTGTGTGGGGTGAGAAGTTATGCACATATAACATTTTCCAGTACAAGAGGATTTGTTTGTGAAACTCTGATAGTGTTATTGTCAATTTGTCAACATTAAAGTCCACTCTCAGAAGAAAATCCAATCCTCCAATTTTCTTGAACAAGGACTTTGGAATACAAAACCAAAAGGAGTTGCTGTGTTTGATCCAAGATTTTAACCAATTTATTTTTATGGTCCCATTTAGACAGTCAAAATCAATAACTTTGAGACCCCCATCTTTTGCGTCTTTAACCATACTGCTTTTCTTCATATAATGTGGTCTATTTCTCCAAATGAAATTTAGGTTGATTTGGTTAATAGATTTAATTAATCTTTTTGGAATGGCATTGGAATAAGCCGGGTAGATACATCTAGATAAGCATTCCATCTTAGTTAGGTAGATCCGTCCTAGTATTGATAAGTCCCTCTGTAACCATAAGTTTAGTCGTGACTTGCCTTCTTTTATTTTATTTTCTACATTCAGAAGTTGGCTCTGTTTTTGGTCTCTGGATAAATGGATACCCAGATATTTACTTTCAGATTTAATAGGGATATTACAGATGTATTTCAGTGGGGTTTCATGTACAGCCAGTAATTCACACTTTTTAATGTTTAATGTTAGGCCTGAGGCTTTGGAGAATTTTTCAATTTTATCAATAGTTTTTGAAATTTGGTGTCTATCTTTCAGGAACATAGTTGTGTCATCTGCTAGTTGGCTAATTATTATGTCTGTGCCAAGTACATTAAGTTTTTTAATATCATTACAGTTCTTAACATAGATAGATAGCATTTCTGTGGCTAAGATGAACAGGTATGGTGAGATGGGGCAGCCCTGAGGAATCCCCACATTAACCTTGAATTTGGGGACATTATCTGACCTTTAAAGTTATTTAGGAGGATGGCGACACCTGCTGATCTTGGAGTACCATGGCTAAAGTAAGCTTCATCTCCCCACTGTTTGGCCCAAAACACAATATCATCATTCTTAGAATGAGTTTCCTGCAAAAAAATTATATTTGACTTCGTCCCTTTACAAAATAAAAAAATACTTTTTCTCTTTGTTATGTTTCGTAAACCCCTTGCATTAACAGATATTAAAAGAATATTGCTCTTTAAACTGAACATAGAGCAAAAACAAATTAACAATCAACAACACTAGATTCCTGAGCTTAGAACAGTAACTGTTCCTTTTTAGGAAGATATGACAGTAGCAAAACCTTGAAAATACTTTTTCACTCAAGCTTACTTATTTTGGGGTTAAAAACCCTGGACGGTTGTGTCTATGGTGAGACTCTTTGACCATGGGGGCCTCGGAACACCGTCTTTAGTCCTGCTTTCCTTGCTTGTTCCACTTTGGGCCACACAGCCCTCCGTGCCTCCCTGGTGACATATTCTGCCAGACGGATGTTCAGCTCCTTGCAGACGGGGTGAAGTTTGGTGATCCTCCAGAGTTCATCCCTGAAGTGGCGTCCTGTGAACTGCAGGATGATCTGATGAGGGCGGTTGGTGTTGTTTGGTCTCAGTCGGTACACAGAATCTAGGATGAAATCTATCTTCTCCCTCCAGTGTGGTGCGATCTTTCCGATGATATCAGAGATGACTTGTTTCGTGTTTTCATCTTTTCCTTCCGGTAATCCAATAACCCGCAGGTTCCATTTTTTTTTATAGCGCTCCATCTCTGCAGCTCTTTTTTCTATTTCTGCTGCTTTTCTTCCAAATTCTGCGTTTTCCTCTTTGAGTTGTTTCACCTCTACGCCCAGTTTTTGACACTGTTCTTTACATTGTTTGATTTCGGCAGAGTTAAACTCCACCGCTTTGGCAATGTTGGTTATAGTCAGTGTGTTCTGCTTCGACTCCACTCTGAAATCCTGCATCATGATCTGAAGCGTGCCGATGGCAGACAGGATGGCAGCGGTAGAGTTTTCTTCAACACGGGCTTCAGCACCTACCACGTCGTCTACTTTGGTCTATTTCTGTGATGGTTTAGCGGGAGATGTTAAAGTGTTTTTGGTTCCTCTACTGTTAGTTTCCATCCTTTCTGGACCACAATAGTCATGTGTCTGCAGCGCCTTCATCTTAGCGTTAGCTTTGGTGCTAACGTTAGCCATGTTCTACAATAACGTTTTCCGGGAGGTTTTCAGAGTTACTTACACGTTTCTGTGATAAATAAGTAAAATCTCTCCAGTCTTACATCTAGTAAGTCAGGGTTTCGCTGACATACATTTATTCTATTGACTTGCAAGGTTTCGCTACTCTGAGCTATTCACAGCACGTCTGCTCGCTCCGCCATCTTGGCTCCTCCCCAGTTTTAAGCAAATTCTGTAAGGCGTTTCTCAATTCACGAGAACACGGACTTGACGAGAACGCGAGTACATACTCGCATTCTCATCAAGTCCGTTCTTGGCGAGAACGCAGGAAGATCGGACTTGACGAGAACGCGAGCACGCAAGCACGTATGTGTATTGGAGCAGAAGCGTACTCGTGACGTCATCACATGCAACGTTGTTTAGCATTTCTTTAACAGTCAAAACTATTTATTCCCTACACAAAACATTTTGAAAACAATATTTTTAATTTCTAAAGCTTAAAAAACATTAAAAAAAATTACCGAACCGCAAAAAACCGCCATCAGAACGAGCGGTAGTTCACACATAACTAGACCGAGAGAAGTGCACTACAGACGGGGTAAATTTAGCCCTGGCTGCGGTTACCCTCGGAGGTCTGCTGCTATTAATTCTGGCATTAGGATAATAATAATAAGTCTGTGCAAATTGAAATTCCTTGGAATCTTCTTTAAAACCCCAGATATATATGTTCAGCGAGTACCGTTATCTGTACAGCCAAAATGAAAACTATAAAACTCATGTGCTCTTTACATAAATTGAGCAAAAAATATTCCTCCTCCAGTCAACAATTCACTTATTCTATTGAAAACTGTGATGTTGAGTATATTTTGTCCTCATCTCTCATTAAAGGCCTCAATAACAACAACTTTTATGAAGAACATGTTTTATATTGTTAACACAATCTGATTAACAAACATAATTGAAACATACTTTCATAAAGACCTTTGTTCAACAAAAAAAAGTGCCAAAAATGCAGTTTTAAGTTAACAAAAAAGTCAGACAACAAAAACATTTTACAATCTGATTATAACAGTTTTAACATAATTCTTTCATCAATACCTTTTTGTTCAACAAAAAAAGTGCCCAAAATGCAGTTTGAAGTTATCCAAAATGTACAAACAAAAACATTTTACAATCTAACGAACTATAACATAGTTTTAACATATTTAAAAAAAACGGTATTCCTAACACATTGAACTTGCTAATGCTAATAGCAAAACAGAAAACAACCCCAAAAAAGACAATTAAACAAAACCAAAAGTTGGTGATTGAATAATTCCAGACTCCATGTACTCCTGAAACTCTTCAAATGTTTCATGAATTGGAAGTCTCATGACAACACTGCATGTGTTGGCCTCAGGATAGCGCCGGCGGGATCCATTTTGAAGTGGGGCATGAAGAAACTCAATCTGAGGCCTCTCTGGGAAGCCCAGTGGAGGAATTTGGTCCACTCCAGACACAAAAATCAGGATATTTTGTAGGCTGATTGGCCGTGAACCATCTAAAGGAAAAACAACAATATAACAGTTTATTACTTTTGTCAAACGTTTGTAAATATTACCTAGTAATCTTGTGCATTACAAACGTACATACCGCCTACTTCAATAAGCCAGTCCCTCCAAAACATTAGTGTCCGATTTTCAGCTCGTCGGGCATTGCTGCCAGGTGGGGAGAAGACGGTGTCAAAAAGACTAATCATGTTCTGGACGGTTAGCTGGTTGTGTCCAGAGACAAAGATAGGGCGAAGGATCTCAGGATGGTTCCTCATTGCCTCTGCCACCTTCAGGCAATCCAGTCCCTCTACGAGCCTGTCAGAGAAGAGTACAACAAAAAAAGAAAAAATTGTATAATGCCATTTGTTACGACTCTGTCCAGCCGAAGGGAAATACACAACAACTAGAATTAATTTATTTAACAATTTTTATTGTTAAACCAATAAGAGGGTTTCCCTTTAACTTTATCCATTTGTTGTCAACCCGATACAGTTCAACCCTAATTTAAACAGCACTTCAGGCAGACAACCCCGCATAAACTGCTACATTGTTCACTGCAAAATAAATATACCCTTGATTCACTGCAAAATGATCATGCAATCCAAAATCAACATCACAATTGACAGGATCAGGTCTCAGATATTAAAGATTAACAGTGATATGAAATGTAAGTATTCAGGAAGTGACCCAAAGACAATAAGTGTCTTGTCCCTAAAGGCTCTGTTTTTTGGACGTATCTTTAAGTCATTGGTAATTAAGGATGTGTCATTCAGGAAGCATCTCACTCTTCTAGTGGAGAAAGAACTATCCACACAGAAGTTTATGCAGGAGGTCACACACTCAGTCATGGTACTGATCGGTCATCTAAATGTGGCTGGCAGAGTAAAACAATCTGTATACTGAAGAGAAACCCTTTAGGTCAGTGGTCCCCAAACTTTTTCGCATTTCTCGTTTTATTTTTTAACAAGGAAGCTCATGGGGAAAAAAAACGTGAGTGAAACAGTCACTGGGACTGACTAGTATATATCCCATTGAGAGAAAGTAACTTTAACATCTGAATTCCTCATATGTTGACATAAAGACTCGTTTTGAAGTATAAGCGGCTACTTACAGGCATTGCTTTGAAGAACAACCGTACTGATTAGATAACATAAAAGTCAAGCAGTTCCCTAAAAGTCCAACAGATGGGAGCAATGCGCCATGCAAAACAAAACACCATCAGTTTACAGGACACTCTTCCTGCTAAAGAGCCCCCTGGTGGTTGAAGAAAAGTCCACACATAAGCCAGAAAATACAATATATGAAAAAAAAATCATAATGCTCTCTGGTATTGTTCAATGTGGACAACAAAATGTGGAGGCGGGCCGGATCCGGCCCGCGGGCCGTAGTTTGGGGACCCCTTCTTTAGGTCTTCTTTGATTTCCTGTGACTATTTCCTAAAAGTCCTTTTAATGGCAGATAGTCTCTGAACAAGGGGTTTATATTCTGAGCATAGAGGAACAGGGTTGTGATGTCATTTACACAAATCAGGTCTTTGAGACAAATCCAATGTCTTGTTTTCTCAGCTGACAACCACTGAAACATTGTTGGTGTTTAAGAGAGTGAAGCATGATTAAAATGATCAGATATTGCCACAAAAAAATGGTGTGTTGTGTCTGGATCTTAGCATAAGTGTAACTGTTTGCATCACATGCACTGTCAGCAGCAGCTGAGGATATAATGTAAACATCTTCCAAAATAACACCGCTGAACTCTCTGCAAATCATATTGAAGACCGAGCCATTTTTTTTGTTAACAGTGTACCTGCTACAATCAGTAAATATGATTTAACTTACTGGTCCAGTGCAGGTTTAATGCGACCTTCAACATGGGCCCTCGCTGCCTGCTCTACGAGAGTATGCTGGCTCTCCAAGTCAGGAAGAAACCCTGCACAACCCAGGGGACACAGTAATGGCGAGGCTTCCTCAACAGCCTGCTGGGCTTCCTCCAAGTTTTCTGCAGCTTTGATCTGTGACAATGATAACAATAATATGAGAGCATGTTTGACAAAATAAATGTCCAGAAAAATAATTGTGCTACCTACTTTCTCAAGGTGCTGGCGCAGTTCCCAGTCACCAACTTCTTCCAAAGAGACTGGGCCTGTTTGTTGCCCACACAACAGGGAATACAGTCTTGTCGAGAAAAAAGAGGGCTGTACTCCTCCTTGGAGAAGGGCTAAGGATAGCATTTGCCCTATTATTTTATAATCCCCAAACTGTAGACCTGCAACATAAAGACAAAGTTAATAATAATAACCTCCAATTACAGAAGTAATGCTCACTGAAGAAAGGAAATAATGGTGTTGGAGCTATTTATTCTTTTTCTTTATCCATTTGAATTTTATTAGTTTATTCTTAAATTTCTAATTTTTGTATTATTTACAGAACTTATTTGTAAGTTAATAATTGTTTATTTTATTTATCTTTTGTCTTTATTTTTTTTCTTATTGATATTTTTTTAATAAACAGGAAGTGATGTGGGTTGGTCCACTTTCTATAAATGTAGGGGCCTGGTAAAGGACCAGCAGGCATTTGGGTTAGGGGCCTATGGTTTTTACCAGTGCAAGGAGGTAGCAGAGAAAACAAAAGGAAGTTTGAACTCTGTAATTTTTGTTTTTTTGCAAAGATGTCAAAATAAATCATGAAGAACAAGTTACAAGTTTGTATCCTGAACCTTCATTACCTGTGTTGAAATACTTGACCCCAGTGTCTCAGTGGCTTATTGGAACTTTCTTTGTTGGATGTTTGGTTTGACAAACAATCGCCACTACAAATGGTTTCTGTTTCATGTAATAACTACATGTTTAAACATTTAGTCTTTTCAATACATGGTTACATACCCCGGGATACAAGGGAAAGATTTTTTCTGTCCTCAGGCCCTTCAAAGTATCGGCTGTCTCGCAGCGCTGCTACAAGGAGCCGCAAGAACTCTCTGCTGGGACCACCGTCATCTACAGCCCCCTCGTTTTCTCCCTCGACATCCACAAATGTTACTGTCAGTTGATGAAGGGGGTTGAAGCGTGTACGGCGAAAAGCTCTAAATGAACCTTCCATTATGAAATCTCTGCACACATTAAGAGAGTTGTGGATCGGCGCAGAACCACTCTGAACACCTTTTTGTAGGTCTTCCAGGACAGTCCTTAAATCAGAATCGGGAGACCTGTAAAAACACAAACAGAACTGTATTTTTTGAGTTCTTGAGAATAGACAATACATTACTCATCTCACAGTGTAAACAGATGCTCTTACACATCCTTATTTTTGACGGGTAAAAAGACTTTAAGCAATGCCAGATATATTCATATTTAAAAAAATACAATTGTGAATAAAACTCACCTGATTATCCCATCATTTTCCATGCCTTGTTCAACTATGTCCTCTTGCTCCCAGATGTGGCTTTGAACACTGTGACACCAAAAGGTTATTATTAATTTGAAGGAGAAAAATGAAATTGTAATACTAAGAGAAATTATATTGTTTAAATTACAAAAATTACCTTAGAACGGGCTCAGGTGCAACAACAGCTTCCACCTCAATTGTGGGATTCTGTTCTTGGGCCTCGCTTTGCTCACTTTCAAACAGCAAGTAATAAAAAAAGTATTAAAATACTTCAAAAAAGAACAAGGGAAAATAATAATTGAAGAAGTAATGGCTTTCAGTTGAACATATTACTTTATCACAAGTGTCATTACGCCCAAAGATGTTCCATCCTGCCTGCAAAAAAAAAAAAAAAAACTTGGATTGCATAAAGATGTTTTCCCCTTGTGTTTGTTGCTAATGTAAACACAATAAAACACTTACTGTTGCACAGTTGTCATCTCCTGGTGTTAGGTAGAAAGGTAGAAAAAAGAATTAAATGTTTTTAAAAGTATTGTGGTTAACAGAACAGTGCTTTGTCATAATGTTTTTGACAAAGAAATAATTACATGTAAAGACTGTTGTATAGCCATGGCTAACTCCTCATCCATGTCCTCTCTGTGAAAAAACAAACATAGATTATTTTAACTTAAGAAAAATGTATTATGTTAATTTTTTCAATGTATTTATGAGGACATGGGGCTTACTCATTGTTCCTTGATGTTTCTTGTTTACTGTGTAAATAAGAAAAAGAGAAAAGTTTAATGTTACTTTAATGAGCGATGTATCTTTAATTAATACATAAGGAGCATATTTATCTCTTATGATCAATCTAATGAGATGTATTTCTTAAAAAAATAAACGGTCATTACCACTCATCAATATGATTTGCCAATTCACACAGTGGTATTGATGACTGGCAGATGATGCATTTTTCCATCACTTTTTGGATCTACACACATTGCAACAAAAAAATAATAGGTTGAATGTCCATACAACATAAAGCACACATGCAGATTTCTGAAAAGGTAAAAGCTAACCTCATCATTGTCATGATCGGTTTAGAGATAAAACCCACATGCAGAACACCACTGGAGACTTGGTAAAAGATTTAACAGAGTTTATTAAGGTTTCACACAAATGACAAGAACAAGATTCAGGTTCTGGTCCGGGCAGGATTCTCTGGCGTCTGCAGAGACGGATAGTTGGTTAGCTTGGTTTGCAGATGAGTTAAATGGGTTATCAGATATTTCAGTGGATACCTTGAAGAGGTCCAGGCTGGTTCTGAGAGAGGGAACCGGTTGGGTCCAGAGACTGTTGGTTCAGCAGAGTGCTTGAGCGGCAGCAGCGTCTAGCTTCTGACTTCCAGTGAAAAGACCTTAGTTGGAGTGATTAGCTCTTTCCTAAGAGCAGCTGGTGGATTCCAGAGTGAGGACTTCAGGTTTGGCTCTCTAGGGCAGGAAGGCAGGTTACAGGTTAAGCTCATCCAGAGCTTCTCTCGAGAGAGAGACTGGTTTCCTAGGAGCGAGAAGACAGAGGCAATTAGAATTAGGTTTCTCTAAGAAGATAACGATTAGTAAATTCAGAGGCTCAGGTTCACTAACCAAACTTGGCTAACACTGCGGCGTCGAAGGAAGGTCTGGCAGCTGCTTATAAAGGCAGGTCTCCTGATGAGCTGATGAATCTCAGCTGTGCTGGAGGGCTCCAGCCCAGGAGGATCCACAGCGCACTCTGCTGGAGAAGGTGGAGAATCTCCAGATCCCAACAATCATCTGGTGGGGGCCTCAAGGGAAGGCTTTGTTGGAGAGGGACAACATATAAGGGAGCCCTTGTACAACCTGAGCGAATATAGCTCAGGCTGTATCCCTCTGGTGGTATTGGCAGATCTTCCAATACCTTTCCCCTGGTGCCACGGGCGAGGACAAACCCACCAGCAACTCTAAGAGGGGGCAAGGCAGAGAGGAGATGTTCGCAGAAAAAAGCATGGTCTCCTTCGTTGTGTGGGAACCACACATTTTTTTGTCCCAAACCAGATGAAAGTGCGCATTCAGCTCAGCAAAGAACTCATGCTCTTCCTCAACACTGAAGTCCTCAGACATTTTTCTTTCGTTGTTTCTTTCTTTGCACAGGTAAACAGCACATTTCTTCTTCTACGCTTGCATTATCGGCAGAGCAGACGCTGAATGCGCACTTTCATCTGGTTTGGTCTGCCGGCTTCCGTAGCGTCGTGAACACGCAGGCGCGCGCTTTCAGGAATATATATATATATATATATATATATATATATATATATATATATATATATATATATATATATATATATATATATATATATATATGAAAAGAAGAATTAATAAATATAAATAACACAAAGAAAAGTAATTAAATATTACAATAAAATAGTTAAATTAATAAGAAACATGTTATTGGGCTAATAATAAATTTTTTTTTCCATTAACTCATACAATTTTAATGCGTTTAATTCTTCATTTTTTAAAGACATCTTTTAATAAGACTTTATAGAGCAGTGAATGAGAGGGAGCATTTCATATATAAACATTTATGGATAGAATATTTGGTTTAAATAATCAGGATATTAACTAAAAATTCAATATATTTTTAATGTATTATCCAAAATGAATGTTTTGTAAGGAAAAAAAAATACATTTATTGTTTTAGAAGACAGAAAGTTACAAAGTTGATCCCATAAGTCTGATACTCCTTTTCATAAAACAAGTGATAAGATAATTCCAATTGAGTTGTACAAAGAACAAATTTCTCAACATTAAGCTTAAATCTCTCAAGAACTCATTTGAAGGCTATGTGGTATATGTTATTTTAAAATGTATTTTTTGATATTTTGGAGGAATTGGAAATTTGTAATAATTTGTACTAATTTTGACTACGATACATTTAATCAACGATTTGTAAGAGAACTTTGTTTTTTGTTCTTCCTGGGTATATGTAATGTATTGAATAGTGGTTCTCTAATTTCTCTAATCTACTGTTATGAATGCTGTTATTGCAAAACCGATTGAGTGAAGACAGGGAAATCTACAAAAGAGATTAAAAATGCAACATTAGACTTCACTTTAGTTCACTTTAGAGCATTTATTAAGTATAGCTGAAATTATTCCTGAAATGATTAGAGTATCTACATTTTTAAAATTTATGGGGGCAAATTGTCTGCCTCAAGCATTGTTAGATTTACCATTTAGCTCACCATGTTCCAGTCGGGGACCCTAACTTTAAAAAAGAAAGTTATGCTACTTATTTGTATGCATCTCTATAAGTGAGTGTAATATTCTTTAATTAAATTTATTCACAGTTTGATTTAACAGTCATTGTCAAGGTGTCTTCAATATTCTGTTTTTTTTTTTTTATATCTTGTGTGCAATTGATAATCAATGTTAAAATTCAAATGTGTTTGAAGGTACAAAAATTCATTTTTGGTTTTATTTGGATTCCAGGTTGACAAATGATCAGATATGACACAGTATGAGATAAATATTCCATTACTTGCTTTTTATAAGTTGTTAATACTTTTAATACCACTTTTTAAATAATCGTTCTTCATTGCTATGATACTTTATTTATGTGGAATGATAAAAAATAAAGAACAACAATGCTAATCTCACTTAAAAGAAAGTGAAAATTGACAATAGTGGGACTTGGTATTGCTGTAATACATAGAAGAGTTTACTCTGTATCATCACCACTTGCACTTTGGCACATTGACGGAAATCACAAATTGATACGGTAAGCTCTTCATGGACAATGTAACTATATTTTTCATAACAGTTTTATATTAAGTCTTTATCTAAGATATCTTTCAATATAAAGGTGTAGAATTGTGATTCATGGTGGCATTGACGGATACAGTCGAAAGATAATGTTCCTCACTGCCAGCAATAACAACCGAGCATCCACAGTCCTAAAAGCCTTCATTACTGCTGTGCAAAAGTTTGGCTTGCCAATCATAGTAAGAAGCGACAAAGGAAGAGAAAATGTAGAAGTTGCTCGTTATATGCTGCAACATCCAGAAAGAGGAGCAGGTATTTTCTTTATTATTATGCCAGTTTTATTTATGCTGTAACACTGCATCATGTCTCTGAACATTAATCCAGATTATGCATTCTTGTTCTCTCTCTTCATAGAAAGAAGAAGTTTTATAACAGGACACAGTGTCCATAATCAAAGAATTGAGAGGATGTGGAGAGATGTTTGGTGTGTTGTCACTGTGAACTACCGCTATGCGCTGCAATATCTGGCTGATACTGCAGATTTTAATCCGCATAATGAAGTAGATTTGGCTTGCATTCATTTTGTAATGCTCCCAAGACTAAACCAGCATTTAGAGCTATTTTCTGTGGCTTGGGATAGGCATTCACTGTCCACAGAACAAGGCAGATCACCACAACAATTGTGGATTAGGGGTCAATTAGTAGCAAACACTTCTATACCTGACCCTTATGTGAGCAGGTTTGGATTCTTATTCTTAATGTATTTCATGTGTTGCTCCTATTAAATTTAATTTTTAAATGTTGTTATTGTCTTTTACAGATTGATGATGATCTTTATGGGGTTGACTGGGAAGGGCCAACCCCGCTCAACAGCAGACATGTTCACAAGTCATTTTTTGCAAGTCCAAGTCAAGTCTCAAGTCTTGAGAAGGCCTGTCGCAATAATCAATTAATCGAACAAAAAATTCTAATCACTTGATTAATTAAAAAAAGTGCAATAATTTTCGTGCTTGCTTGTTTCTCCTTGTGTTTTCATCTCCGTCACTGAGACTTAAAGGTCGCTATTATTTCTATGGAATTATCATTATCTTGAACTGCTAAATGAAAAATACAATTAAAAAAAGCACACGCAAAAATTTTTTCCAGATAAATTTTGCATTTTTAGTTTTTTTTCTTTAAAAAAAAAATATTTTCTTACAGTATTTACCTGACATTTGTGGTTACAACTTTTTCTAGTTTTAGCAGTAAATGTCTGCTCTTTTATTTTTAAGTGAAAATGAGGACTGTGGGGAAAAAAAACTATCACAATCCTGCCTTTTATTAATACATATGAGGTTAGCAACTACAAGAGATAAAGAAAAACCCTAAACAAATAGGACAATAACAATACTTTTATAAAAGAAAGATTGTGGCAATAACTTTTTGTAACTTAATGACTTGGCGGGCAGTATTTTCAATTCAAGTCAGTTTATTTATTTAGCGCCAATTTACAACATTATTCACAACATATTTCTCCTCTACCACTGCTATGAAGCTCTTAAAGCTGGGCTTGTCGATCAAAGACAAGGGGAGTTTGCATGAAATAATAAGGTCCTGAATTATTGCCTTATGTCTGTGATGTCCCTGGCTGTACACCTGCACTGCACTGTGGCTGATAAAGTTAAATGTGGTGGACCAAGCATCGTGTATTTTTTTCTAAAGAAGCTGCAGTTTTCTGCTCTTTTATTCCCGCCTTATGTAAAGTTTTTGTAGGTTAAAAAGGTTATTATGAACGGTGGCACCGAAACAGGGGGGGTAGTAATCGCTTCCATATCTGCATGGGTTGCATGCATGCATGCGCACGGGCATATATGTCATGTACTGTTGCGTCAGTGACGTCAGTGTGTTGCACAGGGAAAAATATGATTTATGGTTTTCTTTCATTTAAATGTTAGTTTTATGCTTTGCATGTTTGGAGAGGAAGATATGATTTGTTTTTCTTTGTTTTCTTCTTGAGCTTTGCATGTTTTGATGTTTCTTTTTTATATGATTTTTTTTCCTTTATTTTAGACTTTTGAATTTTTCCTGTATGTTGGGTTGTTTTGGTTTGTTTTTCCCTTGTGACAATCCATGCGCACTGGACTGAAGTAGCCTAGTTGTCTGAGGAGGCGGAGTGCATTAATTGCGCTGCGTAATTGCTGCGCTCAGGTGTGAGCAAGGGCTGATTAAAGCCGACATAAAAGGAGTCTGAAGAAAAGGAGAACGGAATCTGCAGGTGACAGAGATGGACGCGCTGCTGGGGGAGATGCAGGCGGGGTCCGTGCACCAGGAGGGTGCACAGATGGCCCAGTAAGGAGTATTAGGGCAGAGGAGGAACCTCGCCTGTAAGTAGCGCTCCCCCTCGCTTAAAGCATAAACAGGAATATATCTTCCGACGGGGTTTTGGAGCGTGGATGCTGGCGTTCTCCTTGCTTCTCTTTTTAGCTGGATCAGTCTGGAAAGGGGTGTGGCACGCCAGGAAGTGGAACCGTGCCGGGGGGCCGCTGAGTGTAGTTGAGCACTATGTTTTCCACAGGTAACAACAACTACAAATGCAATAAAAGTATTGAAGGAGATTTTTGTTTGTTTGGTTGTTATAATTAGAAAATGAAAAGACAAGTGTGTTTTTACACATTTTTTTTTACTTACAGATTGGCCAGCAAGGTGAAACAATATATAAGTGGGTTCAACTCATGTGGTGGTTTCTGGCAGGTGGTGGAAAGACACTGCATGCTGTTTCTACCTGTGTTTACAAACGTAGGTGAAAAACTTAGGAGAAGCTGCATGCAGTCTCTCTTCACCATAAAATGGAGTCCACCTGGAAGCAACCGCAGGGAGGCTGAAGAGCAGACCATTTTCTGGTGGGATTGGTGGCTGGTTGCTATTCAAGGTAATTTTACACACCTGTCCTTAATTTGCATTTGAATCAATGGTGAGTGACCTCTCCCTATCCTTCTACAGATGAAGAAGTAGACATCTCCTTAGAGCAAATACTTGTGTTTGTGTCAGGGGCGGATACCATTCCCCCGCTTGGGTTTTCACCAAACCCATCAGTTGAATTTTTTGACCAGGAACCAGGAGAGCAATGCCTGCCATACTCCTCTACCTGCAGCATCACCCTTTTCCTTCCAAGAGGAGTGGAGTGTGAGGAGCAATTTAAAGCCATGATGGAAATGTCCATCAAGGGCTCACATGGCTTTGGAAAAGTCTGATTAAAAAAAAAAAAAACCCTGGTGATAATAGTTTCAAAGGTTATCCGTTTTCTGACCTTTCTTATGGTTCTCTTAGATGTATAATGTTAACCAGTTTAAGGCTTTATATTATGGACTCATTGAACCATACTATACAAAATTGCTGTGTACTTAAAGATGGCCCATTGAGATGCAACATATCCCGCTAAGGAGTAAAATTGAAGCATGTGTGCAAATTAAGCATACTCTACAATATAACTGAGGCTGATCCACAGGTCATGAGCACCAAAGCAAGAAAAAAACATCAAGTATAGAGCAGTGCAGATTTATTTTTGCTCACACAGCAACATGCTTTGCAAGTTTGCATCAGTCTCATTTTGGAGCAACACTGTGATGATAGACAGATCCTTCTTGCATAGTAATACATTAAATACGTTAAATGGACTAAATCTAATTTTTTTGACAAATTGTAACAATCATATTGGTGAAAAAAAATGAATGAAGCTTTTGATTGCAACCTGAACAAAAATGGCCTTAAGAAAGCTGGTTGGTGGAACACATGATGTAAAGGACCTGGAGTGTGTTAGGAAAACAGTAATTAGTCCACTCAAGATTTATCTTTCACTCAGCAGCTTGGTTTGTGCATTTGAAGTCCGACCGGTTTTAAGCCATAGCCTTGATCTCCACACAATAAAAAAGTTCATAAACAAGTTAATGAATGCTATGTTTATGATGTTTAAAATGGATATAAAGGAGGCAGAACTGAAATTCTCATTGAAACCACTGGAAACAAAATAGTCATTTGGACAAATTGAAACATTGAAACTATAATTTCATCATCCAAATTAAGTGTGTAAATTAAGCATAAAAGTGTAATTAAGGTGTAATCTGGACAAAAATGGCCTCAAGGAAGTGTTCGATAGGTGAGGAGCAGCAGAGCTGGTTGGAGGAACACAGGAGGGAAGATGTTGATGACCTGGGGTGTGTGAAGGATTAGGGAACCAAATATTTGAGCAGTTGCACAGGAAGGGGGGTGCTGCGGGGGCTGCTGCAGCCTCCCTCGTCATAGCATCAGCCCCCCATGGTGGGGGGCTGTGGGGTAACATAATATTGTACTTAAAAACATGAAATTATTTATGTATTTATTTTTTAAAAGACTGTGTTTGATATGGGATTAAAATGATGGGCTGTGTATAAGATATAAACTAACGATTCATTATTTTAATATTTCATAAAAAACTAGGCTACTCCCCCGGAAGTGCTTCCGCCACCTCACATTCGTTTAGGCATGGCTAGCAATAGGCAGCAGAAACGTATTTCTGACTATTTCGAGGTAAAAAATGGTTTTAATTCCCCTATACTTCCACCGAGCATTTATTTAGCGTTATTTATTTCTTATTTATTTCTATATGCTGTGCCTATTCGTCGTAGTCCTGTGGCTGAAGAAGTCTACGCTAGAATAAGGCTGCATATCACTAAATATGTCTGTATTAAGCTATTTAGTAATAAAATATGAAATTAGTAAAATTTTTTTGTGTGTGTTTTTTTTGTTTCAGATATGAAATCATTCCCCATATCCATAGTCGAATGGACTTTCAAGACGTTCAATGCTCAGTTTAGGCGATATTTAGGCCATGTTTCATTCAAGTATTCCTGATCCTGTTGATTGGGAGCTGTTGTTTGTTTTGAATGATTAAAAGAGAAGAAATAAAGTTTAAAATGTTCATGCTTTGTTCCGATGCATTTTAAATGGCAGTTTTTGGCGACAAATGTAGGCCTACAATATTATGTTAAAAATGTCAGCCACAGCCCTCAACATAATGACGTCACGTGTTTTCCAACCCAGCCATCAGCCCCCCTCGCTTGAAACAGCTTCCAGCGCGCCTGTATTTGAGCTAGTGCTTACTCCTTATCAACTTGTAAAACTTAGATTAGTTGGAAATTGTACTTTTTGAATATCAGCAAGCCATACAGTATTTGGTGTGACAATTTAATTCAGGATTCTGGCTTCCGGTGGCTTTGTTAGACTAATTTACAGTCTGTAAAATTAGGTTATAATACAAACAGTAGTACTGAGGCATTTAAAGAAAGACACGAAGATAATAAAACAGTACATACAGACAAAAAAATGAAGCATAGCGTCACATAATACTGTTTATTACCTGGAAAATGGTATAATTTCAGGCTCACTTTGCATTCTTGGAAATTTAATATGTTTAGACCGGCCACTGATGATTCAAATCACAAAACTTCAAACATTTAATCTCATGAATTTGGGCTTTCACTGCCATCTGCTGTCATATGAGAGTAAATACAACTTGACAACCATAAGCTTTTTCATATTTCTTTTGTCATTTTAAACATGAAACTACCAAAGCACAAGCCAAGTGGTAGGACTAAATGTTGAAAAGAAATTAAAAGCTAAATAAAATAAACCAGGTCACTTAATAAAGCTGCATTTTTTTATGCTTTGTATTTATATTCACATATTTTCAGAATTAATAATAACATTTCTGTTAAAGATATAAGTTATCTTCTGCACCAAGAGCATAAGTAGGGAGAACAAGCAGAGTGAGTTTTGTGTAATATCAGACTTTATTATTGAACTAAACAGGATTTAGACAGGATCAGAAAGGAAGGTGCATCTTCTTTCTGCCTTTCCCCAACGATCAGGGATCTCCTGGTTGTGTTTGGTGCTGCAGTATTCTTATTGGGTAAAACGCCTTTAAATCTAGTGGCTGAGCACCTAAAAGACAACCTCCTGATAATATAATATGCAAAAAACACCACCAAACGTTATTAACGCCACCGCACGTATTTTACGCCAGCGCGCGTATTTTACGTCACCGCGCGTTTCCAGCCAGAATGCGTGGTGACGTAAAAAACGCGCGCACGCGTAAAATACGGGTTGGAACTGCGCGTTATTATACGGACGATTATTGGCCCAATCGGCCTGCAATAGCGGTCTGCAGTCTGGACGTTAGATGTCGCTGAAAATTACACACTGTAGCTTTAAACAAGTCATATGATTTAATAGAATTAAATAGAAAATCCCTTTATGGTCGCACAGGGGGGAAATTCTGGTGTTTACAGCAGCAAATAGACTATAGCAAAAAAGGTCACATAAATGTGGCGCTTAGAAAAAAGTATAAGAATAGTGAGGAGTTAAAAAATAAACAAATAAAATGCTCTACTGTAACGTGTTTTAATATAAATACTGTGCACCTGGAGAATAAATAACCAATATACAGCTGTGGACATTTTTACAGTAATGGATATTTGAAAATAGCAGCAACATCAGAGAGGCGTAAAATTACAGCATGTTATTTAACTGACTAAGGTAGAAACCGTGTAAAATCTGCATGAATGTAGCAACTTATTAAGGTTGTTGGGAACAGTGATTGTTATAAAGTCTTACAGCTGCTGGAGGGGAAGGATCTGTGATAACTCCCTGGTGCATTTAGGGTGCAGCAGTCTGTCACTGAAGGAGCTTTCCAGTTCTGCAACAGCATCATGCATGGGGTGGGAAACATTATCCAACAGGGATTTGTAATGCCTGCAGGTATACAAATAATCAGTATCAAATATTCTGGCAGATGAGCAGTACAGCACATTTCTTGTATCTGTGAAACATTGAGATGAAGCCTGCTCTTTTATCAATTTATTTCTTGTGACCAGAATTAGATGTTTTGTATAAACCCCATATTGTGTTCTGAACTTTAATCCAATAGACACTCTGGAGGGAGTGAATAATAACTTTTAAAGGCAAAGTTTACCAATTGCAATGGCTTATGGAACTTTGCAAAAACAGAACTCTGGAAACAGGAGAAAAGCTGGTCATCAACAATGGAAAAGCGTTAGCTGTTATGACACCTTGCCTCAAGAACATTTTTGCAATAAAAGCTTAAGTGGAAAAATATATATATTTTCACCAGTAGTTAGACAACTTATTTTTTGAACCTTTGTTTGCTTTGATCTCAAAGCAGATTGAAATGAACATTCTTTAATTTTACAATCTATCTCAAATTTAGTTATTTTAAGATTACTGTTCAGATTGTATACGTGAAAAAAACAAAGACGCAGTTAATCAAGCACAAAATATTTATTTCTCTCTCAACATACAGACTGTGATAAGAGTGCATCAGGACAGGGTGGGTAATGCAATGGGTCATACAGCAGGCAAAGCAATCTCACACAGTTCAAACACAGGCCAGTTAATGGAGCATGATCCTGAGGGGCAGGTTCTCCCAGACAATAGAAAGATGTGCAAGGATGCTCCTCTGTGCACTTTCAACTACCCCACTTAATCACGGCCTCCAAATATGCACCAGTATTGGTTACCTCCTGCCATGCTCTGCATGAGCTAGCAGGTAGGAAAAATAGAACATACAAGATACAGGTGACAGAGAACAGAAATCTCTTACTATTGGAAGTATATCACCAAAGCAGAAGACTCTGCATAATATCCTACAAAAATTCCAATTCAAACCGAATTGATGGAGTAATATACATTAAAGCCCCCCACCCACCCTTTACGTTTAAGAGTCAAAATAAAATGTACAAATACAAGCTACAAGAAAACAAACAAAAAATGTACAATTCACAGCTTTGGCAGGACTGGGGTTGTGCAGGTGTTAAATGTCTAACCTTGCATTTATACCATTTCTAAAGATGAAATATTGGCCATGCTCATCAGTGATGAAACCCCACTAAATATATACGGTGTAGGAACTCCTATCACAGAGGGATAATTGGAGACCATACGTTGTGCAAATTTCTGACATCAAGTTTTAGTTTAACGTTGCAATGCATCACTAAAAATAAATGCAAAGAAAATTAAATAGGCTGTTATGAAAGAACAAAAAAAAAAAAAAAACACAACACCAGAACTTTAACAAGGCAATAACACTGCTTTATAAGCATCTCTAATGTACCATCAATCAAAGAAAAAAGGCAAAATGTACAGCAAAAATTACCTTAATGAATAGCAGCATAAAGAAAAAAATGTTAAGACATCAAAAAGTTAAAACATCTGATTTAACTAGTGATTGCACATATTCTACATACAGTGTATGCCGAGTACTACGTAAGGTAAGAGAACATCAAGCTGTGAAAAAGGAATGGTTTACTGGGTAGCTTGTAATTGTGATGATTTGTCATCTGGTAACTTCTCACTGTTATTTGGTGAATTTGAAATTTGTTCAACCTTTCAGCTTGCTCCTCTTGTACGCATTTAAGGCCACGATAAAAGCTTTGTGGAAAGTAGTTGAATTGCACTTTTGAGCCTCAAAAGTAAAATAGTAAAAATTCACATTATTTGCTACATTCTGATTCACAAAACTCCCAGAAGCCTCTACTGTAGAAAGTTGCCTGTATGTAACTATATGGCTCTAGACACTGGCTCTCCTCTGCAACACTGGACGTTCCTGGGCTGTCCAATGAGCTGGTTCTTCAATCGGGGGAAAACAAAAAATAAAAAAGGAAAGAAGCTTTACCCAGCTGAACCATTTCACCTGAATTAAATGAAATAAGTCGGTTTGGACACGGCTTCGACCCCTTTTCTTATCATTCATATATTGGTAATTTGCTTCTGAAGGCTTCAGATCACCTCTCTGCTATGGCATTCCATTCATCAATTGGTTGGACTAGAAAAAGGAGCTATACCAACTTCTATGTTTAAATCAGATTATATGGTGTTATTAGTGCAGTTCAATAAGGGCATTTGTATGTAAACGGGAAAAAAAAACAATTAAAGGAAGCTACCTTTAAAAAAATAACTTGCATGCAAAAAATGCTTTGTTTTAAAGAAAATATAAAATATACAGAAGTAAATGTTCAAGGCACTACATTCCTGCAAAGAAGTTCATTTTATTAAATACTGTCCTTTCTCTGAATCTTAAGCCACTAGGTATTTGGATACTAATGTAGTGTATTTCAATAGAAAGGGAAACATGACGAAGAACAGGGTAAAACTGGTGATTGTGAGTGCAGATAAAATGCCTTGTATGGCTGAGTTAAGCTAGGAACAAAGCCAAATAAACAATAGGTATTTAAACATTACACATACTGTACAATATACACGCATACAAATACACAATTTATGACACATATATACGCTGCAGAAAGAATAGCAACACTTAGCCTGTTATTTACAGGATATTATTATGCACAGGGGTGGCTCTGGTGCACCCAGCACAGCAAACCATCTGTCCTGAGCACACACCAACACAGGATCAGGTAGTCCTAGTGGTTTTTGGGAAGGGCCCACTCTCAGGGTTGTTCACGACATAGGGGTAGGCCTGGATCCCTGGGTTTGAAATTGTGGCGTAGTGAATCGCTCTTGGAGCACCAAGCAACCTTACAGAAACCACAGAAGCAACAGGACTAGGCATGCCGGGCCACTGCTGCAAATAAAAAGGAGCTGAAGCCATCGCACCATACGACCCCGATGTAACAAAGTAACCAGCAGGATACCCTGAAGAAGAACCTGGGGCGAGACTTGCAGGCATATTAGGGCCTAAAGCCGCAGCCTTTGGGAGTGGGAGCGGTAGCCCCAAGTTGTTTGGAACAAGGTTGCGTTTCATCTGAAAAAGAACGAAGGTAATTTAATGATTATTACACAGGTTTGACAAAGAATTAAAGAAATGTAGGACAACCCCATTTTATAACCACAGGGTCTCCAGACATTTATATGTCAAAAAAAATAATAATTACACTTGGAACCTCATCTTTAAACACTACTATGTGAATTACAACAACCAAATTTATTTCTCTTTATTTATAACTGAAAGTATTTTAGCTATTTGGACTCAAAAATGTAACATTTTAAAAGAAAATGGGATAAATGTCCATGCTTATTGGATATACCAGTAAAAATCTATCCCTTTTACATCCAGTTTCAGAATTGGACAACCAGATTAACATTTGTTAAAAAAAAAAAAATGTATTTTCTGGGGTCAACTACTCAATGCTTTCATTGGGAAGTTAGATATTTTCCAAAATAACAGTCACTCAGTGAACATCTATAAACCCTTTTTATTTCATTTTTCTTAGTGCTTATTGAAAATGTTTCATAGATGCCCATTTTCACCGTCACTGAGGTGCTTAACAATAAAGTTAGAGGCAAAAACCAATGTTTACTCTTTTCCAGCCATAAATGACTAAGCATGCTAATGCTAGCAGTGCTGGAAATAAGAATAATTACTGTTTTACTTGTAGCTGTATAAGAAAAGCTAGAATCCCCAGGTCATAGTTTCAAAAACCAGAGAATGGAAAACAGCAGTAAAACTCTAAACTGCTGCATCTCCAGATTATTTTTAAACACAAGAATTGAACATGACAGTCAGGGTTTTGTTTGGTTTACAAGAGCCCCCAAATTCGCCCCCCACCCGATCATCATTCCCACATCTCAAACCCAAATACCTCACATGCAACAGCCCCCATGCGTGCAGGTCTGCAGTCTGCTCCTTGTTGGCGGCTCTGCCGTCTCATCCTGTTCAGGGGGGATCGTGGCCGATTGGCTGCCGCCGCTACAGTCTCCTTTGTCCAGTCATCCACCAGCTTATGAAGATCCTCTGTAAAGGTAGGCATCTTGTTGTTGCTGTTGTTAGTCTGGACCTGAGCGAGCCTCGTGAACGGCTGAGGAGATGTCGACTGTGTTGCTGCAGTGAGTGGTGGCTGCGTTTGGCTGGAGGTGGTCTGTGCAGCGGACGTACGGAGGGAAGACCCTAAAAAGAAACAAAAACTTTTAATCTTTCAACCAAAGAAATAACAGAACTAACAGATTAATTTGTTTTTGTCGTTATGGGAGAACTTAAAGTTATTCTTTGAAATAACCAGGCTAAATGTATACAGAGCCATGGACAATAATTTGCCAATCTAGCAAAAAAAACAAAAAAATAAAAAAGATGAAAGCGGTGACAAATAATCCAATCAATGAACGTTTACATGCCATAAAAATAAAAAAAATCCAGTGAAACAATAAGTAGTCAGAATATCCATGTATTAAGCATACAGTATCACTTATTTAAACAGCCATAACAACAAGGACGAAATAATGTGGACATAAAACAAAAAACAAAGACTAATGTTGTAGGGACATTTAGAAATACAGGGAAAAGAAGTAAATAAGATAGTTACTACTACTGCGCTCTTTGCCTAGACATAGTCGTTTCAGAGTGGACCCTATAAAAAGGTAAAACAGCACAAGACAGAAAGAGTTAGGCCAGGACACTGAACGCCAAAATGATGTGGACAAACTGCTTCAAAAGCACAATCAGCTATAAAATCAACGAGGAAGAGAGAAAGAGGAAAGGGGGATTTAATAATATATCTGAGTAAAAGTGGAAGACAGAGCCAAGATCTCCCTGTTAAACTGGATGATGCATTTAAATAGGAAAAAAGCTGCCTACCGTTTCATCTAGCTGGTAAAATTACTCTCAGGATGAAGACATTTAAGAGTTT